CGGGCCTCCCAGCCGCTCGCCTCTCCCACGGGGACTCCCACCCGAGCAGCGTGGTGCAGGGCCCCGGGGGCCTCACGCCCAAAATGGGAAATATTGACAGGCCTTTCCTCAATGCTGACACACATAAACTTAACGGAAAGAATAATTAAACCAAGTTTTGGCCATAATATTTTATACTTCCAAACGAAGGGGAAAATACCCCAATATCTTTTATTCTCTCAAATCATGGAAGCTGGTCGTTAATGCCCTACTAATTTACCGTGAGGAATTTAGAACTTGAAATTCCAATAGCAACGATGTGTGATAATAGTCGCATCTTCCTTATTCTAAATGTCACAGTAGATATAATAATTTTAATATTGTAGTTGTCAAGTTCTATGTTTACCTCTTATCCCTAATTTTTTATGTTTACTCCTTAAATAACTTCAACACGGCCAGGTATTTATACATTTAATTTAAATAATTAAATTGTTTATAAAAAAGAAATTTGCTTTCTGATACTTTTATAATTTCTAGGAAGGCCATTTTTCTGCTTTTTGGAAGAAGCAGAAAAATATAAGCTCTGTCGAGCTCATATTCTCAGGTATTTTTATAACAATAAGTCAAAGCAGTGTGAAAAATTCTCCTATGGGGGGCCTTGGCAATATAAACAACTTGGTAACGTTGGAAGAATGCAAGGCGCCTGTGAGGTTGCATGTAAGTTTATTACTCATGTCATTTTACTTCATTTATAGGCATTTTAAAAAAATAAGGCGTCTTACAAGATGTTCAAGTTTACCCAGCTTTTTTGTTAGCCATACAAACGGAGATACATCTGTATTTATTAAATCCGATAGAAATTAGTCACTATGTTAAAGAAATTTTTTAAAGTACAGATATTTAACAAAATAGGAAAATTGTTTCCATAGACACAACATTGTATTTTTTAATGTCCCATTATTTAATTTTCTTTCCTGAGAATACTGTATTAAGTCTGAAATCCTTAAGTTTATAACAATTTGAGGACAAATCGTTCTTTTGAAACTTCCACCTAAAATCAATCAGTTTTATGTGACCATAAAATTTATTAAAGGAATGATCTTAACACTAACTGTTAGACTTTATTTTTACTAAGAACTACAAAGTTACTCATGGAAATATTATCTTATTTTAGATATGTATATATAAAATTTTTCAAAAGATCCACTGTACACTAATTTAACACAGAAATGTGAATAAAATTTCTAGTTTACTTTTCTTAACATAACTGCTTGCTTTGCTTTTGCATATGGTTATGAGCTTGTGACAATGTCCCATATTTTAACTGGCTATACATTTTCCAGCGAATGATGACAGAACCCAACCTGACCCTGTGCCTACTGAACCCCTGACACCTCGGCCTACCACTGCTGCCAGAGGTTTAGGTAAGAATTTTATTTTTAAAAAATTGCTGCCAGAAAACTATCATGTTAACAATAAAAGTAGAATGTATATTAAAATTGTGCTGTTAAAAAAAATCGTACCTGTTCTGTTATTTAACAATAGGTCTGTTGAAACACTGAGAGTCAACATGTTTAAGACATTTAATCTCATAAAAGCAATAATTTTCCTAATCTATTTTAAAGTATGCTTTGAAGTAGGCTTTTGATTCCATATCACATGAAACTTACATGTGACACTTTATGCCAAATTTTTCTATAAATCATCAGCCTCTGTGTCTGGTGGTAAGTCATTAGAGTGGCAGCAATACCTCAAAGGCAGTCGAATGTACCCTTAAATTACGTGAGGCACTGGGCAAGGTCTCTGGTGTTAGTCCCAGGACAGATTAGGAATTTGTTGATAAACCATCCCCAAAGGTTGTATCACTTTGAAGGAAATTTTCTTTTGGACTTCTGCAGATCTGTTTTCTGGGTTCTACCCCGTCAACGTAGTACTCAAATTTAAACAATCATTATAGCAAATATGCCCACAAAATTGCAGAACTGGTAAAACAGTAAAAATGCTGGAAAACATAACCACAAACCACAAATATCTCAATAGTTAAAAACAACCTAAAAAAACTGAAAGTTAACAGAGTAAACGTAGGGTCCTGCTCCTCCTACCTAAATTTTAAAAAATCGCATGCGCTCATTCATAAATCGGAGATGTTGCTTAGAAATAGTCCATGCGAAAGTGTTAAATGCAAACTTGGCATGAGCTGAAAGCATTCTGTGGCTATTAAAATCGCAACCTGAGGCTAGAAAGAGACACGGTGTCTGGGCCAGGGGTTCTCCACCCTGGCCATGTTTCAGAATCCGATGGGGCTCAGAATCAGAACGTCTTTGAGCATCTCTCTTTACAACAACAGAAATAAGCAAGCAAACAAACAGAAAGCAAACAAAATTTCTGCGCAGATGAATTTAAAGCACTGCAAATTGTCGACTGTGACTTATCTAGAATGAGGGATGTCAGTGTCCAGCTCAGCCCCACACTGACCTCAACACGAGCGTGGGGCTTGCTTCAGCTCTGAATGCCACAGCTTAGGAGTCGCACAGAGACCTGGAAGCATGTGCAGAGAAGGACTGGAAAGCGAAAGGAGGCATGACATCCGAGAGCTCACCAAGAGCTCACAATACTTGAAACGTTGTCGCGTTAGAGGAGGGGAGGGTTAAGTTCCTACAGCCCTGCCTCAGGCCTCTCATTTCAACCCCACCCGCACCCCGCATCGCCACCTTCCTGTATCACCCCCAACCCGGCCTAAGAATCAAGATTAATTATGAAACCTAAAGTATCAATTTCTTTCTGTAAAGTGTTTATTCTTCTTTATTGTTGAAAGTCTTACAGATGTCTTCCCTTTTCTCCCCACTGATCCCCTCCACGGCATCCACCCCCCCAAACCCCGCCTTCTCCACACTGTTGACTGTGTCCTTAGGTCATGCATATAAGCATCTAAATTCTTTGGTTAATCCCTCCCCACCCCCACTCCCCACCCCTCCTGCCCTGAGATTTGTCAGTCTGTTCCATGTTTCTATGTCTCTGGATCTCTTATCAGTTTATTTTGTTCATTAGATCCCACCTATGGGTAAGATCATGTGGTACTTGTCTTTCCCCGACTGGCTTATTTGACTTAGCGTACTCCTCTCCAGGTCCCTCCATGCTGTCCCAAAGGGTAAAGTGTTTATTTTTAATGTGAGGTCTTCAAAAATGACTGGGATTAAATTCTCTACATCACAGGCCTTTCAGCCCTGTTCTAAAAGCACTTGAGATGTGCTGGAGGGCATGCAACATCTCCCTGGGAGCTGGACAATGTGGTATAGTCAAAATGCCGGAGGTCCTTAGATTCTATAATTGTTTATGTCACTAGAAAATGGTTTAGTAATTCTTTCTTGTTATCTACTCTTTACTTCCATAATATTGCAAATGAGCTTGAGAATATAATTTTTCCAGTGAGCCCTCTCCATTCAAGAGAGTTGAATGGGTATTAAGCACAATTGAAGTTTAATTTTCTCCTTTTATTTCCATATTTCAATATTAATAGGTTACTTAGGTGACCTCAAAGATTGAACCTTACTCTTTCTTACAGAGATTTTCACAAAAGAGTCTGTAAGCACGTCCCTGTGCACAAGTGACAGCACATTATCTGAGCTGAGATATTGGCATGCAGAAGGATCGCAGGGCTGCAAAGCCAAAAGAATTTTATTTGTATAATTTTTCTTTATCCCGGTCAATACTGCCAGCTTTTCAAACTCTGAGTTCTGTCACCATCTTTCCAATCATTCCAGAAGAGGGCTTGGTAAACTTTGATCACTTCTCTTTTTCTAGTCAGTCATTAAACTCCATTGCCTTTTCCAATGAAACGCCCATTCCTGTCCCTTCCATTTTCAGTCTTAGCTGTTTTGGTCAGACCATCAATCTTTCACGTGTAGATTACTTCAACAATCATGTGTAATCTAAGCTGAAACACTAATGAAAATGAAGGGGGTGCTAAAAAAATTTTATCTATTTTAAATATGTATGCATTGACAGAAAATTGGCTTTGTAATTGGATATGTAAAGTAGTTTTATTTTTTAAATCTTTTAATTTTTTAAATCATATATATGTTGGGATATGATGTACCAAAAAAAAAAAAAAAAAAGCATGACCTAATATTGGCTCAGGAAAACCAGGTGACATAGACATCAGATCAATAAATAGGGATGGATGAATAGATAATCACAGAAATCAGATTAATATAATATAATTAATATAATATAATATAATTAATATAATTAATATAATTAATATAATAATATAATATAACATAACATATATGCTATGCTATGCTATATACAGGGGTGGGCAAAAGTAGGTTAATAATAATAAAGAATACAACAATAAATACATTAATAATAACACAAGAATAAACTGTTCCGCATACTCACATCTGTGAGCCCCATTTTGCCCCCCCCCCGGGTAGACCGTAAGCTGCACACCCCAGTTAACCACTACAACTGTTGATGCTTCTGAAAGCCGCACTTCATCAACAACCCGCTTCCACTGTCCCGAAGAAGCATCCTGTTTTCCATAATGTGTTCTCAGACCAACAAGCATAAAAACTTCCCCTACTGTCTAAATATGCCTGCATGGTGATCTGGTGCTTCACATGTTGATTTTCAGATAAGCTGGCTTTCCAAAAATAGATAAGACCTCGCGGAGAGGATCCACCAGACCCGCTACTTCCTGGCAGGGGAGCTGGTGAGAAACAAAATACAGCTCTTCACCTCTGCCAAGCTTGCTGCCATCCAAGCACAGTCACCCTCGGTGACCACTGACTCCTTCTGCTAATCCCTTTCTTCCTGGACCATGTCTGGTTTTTAACAAGGGTGAACTTTGTGCCCTGATCATAAGATTTCTCCAGAGACATGTTTCCAAAACATAAATAATATAGATGCTTTTAAAGGAGAAAAAAATCACAAACTTCTAATCTGTAAACCAAGTTAACTTGAATGACACTAATTTTATATGAACAAGGAAAATAGTAGGAATAAACTTCTTATGCCTGTGACTATTATATAACCATAAATCAAAACTTATGCACAAATGGATAAAATACAAACTAAAAACTAATAAATTAATCATACTAATTTGATGGCACATATTTTTTGCTAAAATAAAATCCCTGTTGTAACGTGAATTTGGTATTGACTATTCTAGGGCAAGTTAGGAATGGAGTAGGAATAGGTTAGAAAAGCCTGTGCTACCCTGCGGTGTGTGTAATTAATTCAGTGACTGACCTTTTTCTTGAGTACTGGATAATCTTTGCAGGAATGGATTTGAGAAGCATTGATATAAAATGTGTGTTTCTTAGGAAAATCCCAACTCTATCTTTTCTGGGGACACAGCAGAACGAGGTTGCTAATTTTCTGTCACATCTTAATGCCATTAAATGAATCTGACTGGCCATTGCAAATAGGAACACATAATTCATTAAAGCCAGGGAGCTGGGTCTGTTATTTCTAGAATCAGCCCACTGTGAACATGACAACTCAATAATCCTTGCCTTCAAATGCCTGAGCTCTCTGAATACCGTTTGGCTCAGCAGTGTTACTCCCAAGCCTTGTTTCCAGCCTTCTTGCTTGATGAGCTGTTTTGATTAGATATATTTCTCCTGTTCAAACTTGATAAATTCCAGCTTCATGCATGTAACTGAGGATGAGAAGCACCTAAGGCTTTCTGATCTTAAACTTCAAAGAAAAGAAAATCAGGGAATCCAATATGAAGGGGAAGTTGAGGCAACTTTATTTGGTAATTATTAAAATATCTTTGCTTAGTTATTTTTATTTTCTAGTTAGTTTTCAGATGGCGTATCATAGTGGTTTAGAGCGTTGGCTTTATGGGCAGAAAGATGTGGGTTTAAATTCTAGTTCTGCTATTTGCCAAGTCTCTCTGTGGCCTTGAAAAAAATTACAGGACCCTCAGCCTCAGGTTCCTCATTTGTTGTATGTGGAGAATAATATGTCTTAAAAATTTTGTGGAGATTGTGATGACATATGTAAAAGTTTTAACCCAGTGTTTAGCACACAATAAAGCTCAAAAGTATTAATATTTGAGGTTTTCTATGTGATGATGATGATGATTACCCAGTGTCAACAGCAGGAAACAAAATAATCAGAGGTTTTATTTATATACATTTCATTAGTGATAATTTTTAATATAACTAAAGCCTGTGACCTTGATCTGAAGTATCTTCATTTAATTACTTAATATTATGATTCTCTCAAATAACATAAAGCACTTGTAAATTAAAATATAATTATAAAATACCAATAATTTTTTTGTATCTTTGAATCTTATTTCTAATCAGAGGACTTGCAAACCCGTATGTCCAACTTTGTTTTATAACCTGAGGTGGAGATGTTACACTTGTTAGTTTCAGTTCAGTTCAACAAATATTGTGTCCCTCCTCCGTGACTGGAATTGGCATGAGGGCTGGGAGTCTGGGGACAATAAATAGATGGTGGTTTGGCCTTTACAGGCATGCCTGTGAAATGCGGGGAGACAGACACATACATGACTTCAATGCCTATCTTATATGCTAAGTCAGACACCGGAACAAATGTTATGGGAAGACAGAGTCATGATGATATTGTACTTCCATTGAAGTCCAAATTAAATGTTTCTGTCTTCTCAAAACATGGATTTACTTTCTATCTAACATCCTATGGACCCGTTTGCCTAGATGATGATTAATCCATGGGCATAGTTCATAATTCCATTTTCACTCAGGGAATTTTTAAGTAAAGGCACACTGGAAGAAAGCCAAGATAAAATTACAAATGATTAAATTATGCCTATAAACTATTTCATAATACATTAAAAAATATTCCATCTTCTAAGTGAACCAGGCTAGAAAAGTAGAACTGTCTTCTCCCTAGCTCTTTCCCTTCCTCACATTCAGTCTGGTGCTTAACTTAACCATTCCCACTGTAATTGCTTTAATTAGGGTCATTTTATATTCTCTGTTGCAAGTCTCCGGCTGGATTCGACCTACACATGCCTCGTTGAGTTTGCTTCATGTATCAAGAATTGCTTCAGGTCTCTTTCATCCTTCAATACTTTCAGTGGTTTATGTCTACATCATAAAATCCAAATACAGTGGTATTCAAGGGCCTTCTCGATTTCCAGCCTTGCACCCCACGGTACTCTCCGTGGGCGCTGTTCTTCAGATAGCCTGGCATTTGCAAAGTAGCCCAATCCAACCAGGAATGTTTTCACCTTTGTACTTTCCTTCCCCCACGTTCCCCTCTATCTCCTTTTTCTTATTAAAATCTCACTCTACCTTAAAAGCCAATCAAGGAACCAAAAAAAACCATTATAAGGCTTCCAGTTTGGCAATTATGACATGAAGAAAAGTGTTGCTAATGTATTATGACATAATTATCTTAAAATAAGCTATACTCACGAGTTTCATAATTTGTAATTTTACCATGGCTTTGTAATTTTTCTTCGTGGCTTTGTTTAGAAAAATCCCTGGTTGAAGATAACTGTGGACTCTAACCATGGATTAGGCAGTATGTAGACAAGCGATTTTCAACATTTTTAATCTCATGGCACACATAAACTAGTTACTAAAATTCTGCAGTACACCAAAAAATACATTTTTTGCCAATATGACAAAAAATAGGTGTAATTTTGATTGACTTACAAAAAAAATAGTAGTTACCTACCCTTTTTCCTCCAAAGTGACTTTTTAAAAAATCAGGTGCCTATACTTTATATAAGGATTTCTGGTACTAAGAATTAATCAGTCAGGCACACTTATGGGATGTGACCAATAAGATGCAGCTCCGTTATATGATCTGTGTTTACGGTTCAGAACAGGGCATTCACACCACACGGCTGCTGCTGTGGTGGTCATTGTCATTGTTTTTATTTGACAATCTAAGGGAAAAGAGGGCAGTGCCCCTGACCAAACATTCAGGTATGGCATGTTTTAAAAATTTTGTAGCACACCAGTTGAAAATTACTGATCTAGACAAAAAATACAACCCAATAAATATCTACCCATTGTTTTCTTTTTCAGTCTGTGGAGGCCTCCCTATCCACACAAGGTTCCTCACCATCTCTTCCCCGTGACCTTTCCGTTTAAATACCTTGCTAGCCCACCTTCTACATTTTACACTCATCAGAATGGTCCAGTCACACAGAACAAAGCAAGTTCCCCAGAGCACTTTTACCCACGGCTTGCCCTCCCTCCTCCTACACAGGGAACGTGGGTTTCTGCCCATTTCATGCCGCTTCCTCCTCGTTAATGAACGAAGACACAGGCTTTTCCTGCTCTGCAGATTTGCCACATGTAAATACTAACTCCACGCCTCGCCCAGAAGCAGATTCCCATCTCCAGCCCTTTCTTTAGGAACCCAGGACTCCATAAAAAGTTAAAGGGTCTTATTGAAGAAGAAGAAAAGAGATAAAAAATTATGGACAATAAAATGGCAATAAATCCATAGCTATCAACAAATTAAAAAACAAAATAAGTGAAGAAGTAGGACAGAAGCAGGCTCATAAATGCAGAGAACATTTCGACAGTTGCCAGATGGGGGTAGGGGGGCTGGGTGAAAAGTGACGGGATTGAGACGTACAAATTGGTTGTTACAGAATAGTCATGGGGATGTAAAGCACAGCACAGGGAACACAGTCTGTAATGTTCCAATAACCCTGTATGGTGTCAGATGGGCACGAGATTTATCGGGATGATCACTTAGTAAGTTATACAATGTCCAATCACTGGAGTATACACCTGAAACTAATATAATATTGTATGTCCACTGTAGTTGAAAAATAAAAAATGATTTAAAGAAAAAAGAATTTTGCTCATCAGGGCTTTTTTTTAAAAGTTGATCATTCATGAACAAATGACATGTAAATATCAATCGTTTTTAAAAAATGTATATTGTTAACAAACTTTCAGAAGTTAAACTGTTTACTCGTTTGTCACATACTACTTTTTATGCATATAAAGAGCAATCATAGCACTTTCCTTTAGCAAATGTGTCTGCTTTCTCATTTGTTGGAGAAAGGTCTCAGTATAGCAGACACTTGGAGATTGCTTTAGCATTTTTGTAGAATTGAAATACGTGAATTTTACTAAGTAGTACTATTCATTCAGATTGCTGTTTTACATAAAAAGGCCACAGAACTCATCTAAAGCCAATACTGTGAAAGTCTCAAATTAACTATCATATAATGACTTACCATGCTTTCTTCATGTTCTTAGGCTTTTACGGCCCCTCCTGGTGTCTGACCCCAGCAGACAGAGGACTGTGCAAAGCCCATGAGAAGAGATTCTACTACAATTCGAGTGTTGGGAAATGCCTCACATTTAATTACAGTGGATGCGGAGGGAATGAAAACAACTTTGTTTCTGAAAAGTCATGTCTTAGGGCTTGTAAAAAAGGTAGAGAAAACATTCTTCCAATTAACTCACTAGTGTTCAAAAAACAATTGTATTGAAATTATGAATGAATTTTAATCTAAAAAAGATATCATGAAGTTAGTTCTATTTATTATAGGAAACAAAGTGTTATGATCTAGCTAATAAATGTTCCCTTTTCAACTACATTAAGATAATATTGCTGGATCTATTAGCTGCAACTCCCCTTAATATATCTTCATAGAAAAAGAATTAATTTTTGAAAACCATTTTATTCTTTTAATATTGCATACTAAACTTTCATTTTAAAGGATTATACCAAATATATTTAAGCTTTCTGATAATGCTCAAAATTAAATATTAGTTTTCTGAATATAAAAATTATGCATGTTTATAGAATAGTGTTAATATGTAGATAAAATCATCTATATTCCACCAACCATACACAGACACATGTTCACATTTTTAATAAAAGGATCATGCATTTCTAACTGAAAATAATAAAAATCAACAACATGTTTATCCATTTTGGCTAACTCATATATGCAAAGTGACATCCTTAGAAATAGATTGTTCTATACAAAGATACATTTTTTTTAGTTTTAAACATTAAAAGATAATTTGAGAAAATTTTAGATAAAGTAACACAACAAATCATGTCTTCACGCATAAAGTTTTTCTCTTTTCCTTTTGTAGGTATCACCAAAAAAGCATCCAGACAAAGATTAATTAGAATTAAAACAAGAAGAAAACACTCAATGGGAATAGCATATCACTACAACTGAATTCTACTAAAATATTTTAGGTGAAGCATTTCCCTATGGTTTCCATTTTTCTTGCCTAAAATCCTTTTAATTAATATTTTCATGAGTTTCCTATGCATATAGCACCTGCTATGAACACATTTGCATCAGTGTTCCTTTACTAATCCAGCCAAAATGTTTATTCTAGGACTATAATTTATTAATGGACTACTCTGAATTTATTTACTCCCTTGACCCCTTTCTATTTACCACTTAACTACAAATTACCAGACTGCTGGCCACATCAAATCAGTCCATTTTTCTATTTGGTGATCACCTATTTCATAAAAATGTTGTCATTTGTTTTGCTCACACTTGTATGTGATGGTCTCCTTTATAGCTCATGCCCAGAATTAAAAGTACAGATTTAAAAAACAAGCCCTTTTGGGATTTCACACCTAAAATGGTGACAAGCACCTTCTCCTGATAAAGATTTCTCCCTTGTGCATTTGGAAAGAGCTGGTACTAGTAGAATTCTATCTCCTGCTTCCCTCCCGAGACACAGTCATCCTCTTGCACTAACCAGGACCCCATGGATTTGAACACAGAAGAGTCAATTCTGTGTCACGTGCCTGCCTGATTTTCTTTAACATTCTTTTTTGTTTGCTAATGGCCCATTATATCAATAAAGATATGATTGATTGAATAATTGTGTGTTAAATACAGATCGTGATGAGAAGAAACTTGGTGGGAAAGGGAAGTTTTTAATGGCAAACGAAAGGAAATTCTGCTTCCGATAAATTTTTTTCTTGCCAGAAATAGCAAAAATATTTAAACCTCCTGAAACCTATTCATTTATCACTAAGACTTTGCACACAATGCAACCAATAATTCATGCTCAAAAGAAAGAAAGAAAGAAAAAAGTGCATTTAATTTCTGTAAAAAAGGAAAAGAAAATGGTCAGGAAGGAAGATTCTGCTAGAAAATTCATGCACTGCTCACTCTTGGGGTTTTAACCAACATTTCTCTGGAGTTAATTCACTAGATCCACATCTATATGTTACCTTCTCTGCTGAGCCATGCACCGTCTGGCATCTCAACAGCCTCCTCGACATCTCAGTTTCTATACTGTGCACCTCACATTTCACATTTAAATTTGAACCTGTCATCTAGAAACAACGAACCACTGCATCCATTTAGTTTAGCTTAACGGCCACTCTCTAGCAACAGTATCAAAATCCTGCTGTTCCTCATGCTTGAGAGCTTGCATCCAATTTTAATTTCTTATTCTCCCTCATATTCTACATCTAATCAGTCCCCAAACACTATTGCTTCCTTTTTCATAAAGTTCACCCAGTTCCCAGACTTTTTGCCTCTACTGCCGTCTTCAGCTCAATGTTGATAATTCCTAGGAATCCATTCAGTATATTTCTCCACCACTCAGAATCCTTCAGGGACTCACTATTTGGCACTTAACTCAACCCTACTCCTCATAATTTAATTTACATACATATTGGACTGACTGCCTCTTTCATGACTTTTTCAATTTGGATAAAGGGTATTCACTATTCACTTAATATATCTTTAGTTTCTCAGTTTATTCATGCTGGTTTTCTACTGAAAAATCTGATATCCTCCAGCGCATTCATCTGAAGCCGAGCTCCAGCTGATGCAAACTATAAAACTGCTGTGTTTCAACTCATCTACTGATGGGCACTTGGGCTATTTTCAGATCTTAGCTATTGTAAATTGCGCTGCGGTGAACGCAAGACAGAATATAAAAACTCCCAACATACATTTACGAATCATTTTCATCCTACAGCATAAAAATTATATCATTGCAAAATACGGCCAATATGTTCACTTAAGAAAAATTTTATATCATGATATCAAATATCCAGTATGTAAGTAACTGCCTGAAGTTGGGTCTTTGCTGGGGAATTTGAGACTTTTGGAAAACAGAATCCTTTGTTTTCATTTGCACACCCATAGCAACAGCTTTCCATAAAGGGTAAAAGCTTCCTTCCTTTGGGTAGCAAGTTGCCACCAAGGACATATAAAGAGCACACTGCTGAATTGACTTCTTTCTCGAACAACCATTCAACGGTTCATTATTCAGTCAAATTTAACACACACATCGAGATGGTTTACAGTGTTTAATGCATGTGAATATTATTTTTACTGTGTTTTTAAATAAGGAGCCCTCGCCCTGGCCAGTGTGGCTTAGTTGGCTGGTGTAAGGGGACTGCACCNCATATAAAGAGCACACTGCTGAATTGACTTCTTTCTCGAACAACCATTCAACGGTTCATTATTCAGTCAAATTTAACACACACATCGAGATGGTTTACAGTGTTTAATGCATGTGAATATTATTTTTACTGTGTTTTTAAATAAGGAGCCCTCGCCCTGGCCAGTGTGGCTTAGTTGGCTTGGATTCCCAGTCAGGGCACATGCTCAGGTTGTGGTCCCCGTTCCCAGGGGACGTGCAGTGTTTCCCTCTCCTTGATGTTTCTCTCTCTCCCTCTCCCTTCCTCTCTCTCTAAAGTCAGTAAAAAACATAAATAAATAAATATAAATAAATAAACAAACAAATAAATAAATAAATNCATAAATAAATAAATATAAATAAATAAATAAATAAATAAATAAATAAATAAATAAATAAAAATAAAAACATAAGAAGCCCTCTGGTGGTATTGTTTTGTTCTCTTTTGCATACTCAAATGCATCTAAATGTAAATTTTATATAGAATTACATTATACAGCATGTACCTGCATTGACATACTTTGTTTATTCTGTGTTCAAAATTAAAAGGTCATTCAGAAAACTGCTCAAGTGATTTTATTTTTTACACTATAAACAATAAGATATATTATTTTTTTTTAAAGAATAGTTTGTTTTCCTGTGGTCTACTATATTCCTTCAAAACTAGCCTATATTGATGCAATTCGCCACGTCCAATCTGACTACACCTGAAACAGATTTTCCTTTTCAGTGCCAGATTGATCTCCAAACACCAAGCGACTTTTTGAGAAGCTTCCAAGTTACTACTTTAAGGGGGCCCCACTTACTTTGGGAGATTCTGAATGCCTTAGCATTTGGGTTTTGTTTACAATTACAAAAAAACCCCACATTTCCTGAACCATTAACTTCTCCCTCCCTCAATATCACGTGCATTCTAGAAAATAATACATCTGCTTCTGATTTACACTAAATCATCAAGGCGTTTAAAGCTCATCAAAAGTTTTGAAACACTTTTGAAAATATTTCATTTCTTTTTAAATCATTCCTTAAAGAGCTAGCAAAATTTAGTGAAGAAAAAATTATTTCTAGTACCAAAATCTTTTATTTCAATCTACAGTTGGTTCTCTAATAGGTTTTAAGCAAATCCTAAGAAGCCCAAATTAATCCATTCTCATCAACATTACTGACGATTTGCTGTTCACTCACTATGCAATAACATCGGCTAAGGCACTTATAAACCCGGGTGTCTTCAGGGTTTTCATCCATATTTAATACGTATTTTCACACAGGGTGTAATTCTAATTTACGGAACTCTTTTTTTCAGCTGCAGGCACTGTCAAGTTAGAAGCCAGAGGAAACTGCAACTTCCTTCCTCTTTTTAAATGTTTGGAATCAGAAAGCAAGAATTTTGATTTTCCAATAGTCTTTCCCCTTTTCAACATATTCCCTACTCTCAACAGAATGTTCCAGAAAATTTGTAAATCACTCTGGGGAAAATTCCAGAGAGTTTCAAAATGGGAACAGCTGTGAGCTACCTAAATGATCCATCTCTCCAAGAAATTGCTCTCCCAGAGATGAAGAAATAAACAATTACCATTTTTTACTCAAAGTATCTGCCACTGTTCAATGAGAACGTCTTTAAAGCTGTAAAGCTAGGTATATCTTAGGAAAATTTTTATTTAACTCTGCATATTCCTTTTACTTTTCTCTGTACAAGCTACACACACACACATTAATTTAACACTCTATGGGGCATTTAATTACAGAGAAAATCTTTAAAATCCAGTACATCTCTCAGCTTTTCTTTTCTCTACTGGCAGTCGATAAACTGTCAGAAACCACTGAAGAACTTTTAAGAATTGTGGACGAAAATAATAAAGCACCAAACCAAACACAATAGTAATGAACACGGGCTTTGGCTTCAAAACACCTGGATTTGAGCTCAGTGGGCCTTGGGGCTGCTAAGCCTCTCTTCTTGGGGAAAGTGGTGAGGGTGGAGGAGCGCACATAAAGAATTTAGCGCAGTGTTTGCTCCATAATAAATAGTCGACAAAATGGTAGTCATTGGTGTTACAGGTTGCTGAATATTTAACATTCCAAAATTTTAATATACAGTCTCTCTGAGCTGTAACAATTATTCAGGCAATTAAAAGTTAAAGTAGGAACTTTTAGGTAAATATTGTTCGCTGAAGTAACAATTTTATAAAATGAAGAATGAAGAGCATAAATACGCAGTGGTTTTACTGTTAACAAGATTAACTGGGGAAAATGTAAAAATTATGCATACTTAATAATTTGAAAATTTTTCAATAATTTGTTTTTGAGATAATTGCCTAACAGGAGCTAATGATATTTTTAATATGGAAACTTTAACATGGATCTGAAAGGGTAAAATCAGTGAATATTCTTTCAATTTCTCTAAAAAACCTATGTTCATTATGTTAGATGGGCCAGGTACAGAAACGTGGGTACAGAGACTCACCGGGGCAGGAAGCCCGGGGTGCCTAGCAAGGGGCGAACCTGGGAAAACAAGAACCTTGTCCCCAGGGTAACCTACCCTCCCCAGCATATCACTGGCCCTGCGGTTTAGACCCCTGAGCAGTTTCTCCCTAAAGATAACATCTAGGCCTCAGTTGTATTTCAGCTCCAGGCCCAGAAAAGCAGCAAAACCAGACAAGTGGCACCATAGCTGCCCCAGGACCAGCTGCATTGGCTAATGGCCCTCTGCCCTGGCACCAACCAGTGGAGACCATGACCCTGGAGGAGCACACCTGGAAAGCTGAGGAATATTCTAGAAACACTCCCTGAGACCTCCCCTAAGATTTCCACCTGCAAGAAACAGACAAATACGGAGGACAAAGGACACCCCGCCATATCCTTCCCCCTTCTTCCCTCTAGGGGACCCCGCAATGGGCAGCAGCAGCTCGTCCCGGGCTCACCCCCTGGACCTGTCCCCAAGGCCCCTTCTCTCCCTGACTCCTCAGGGAGCCCAAGCGGCCCAGCCCAGGCTCTCCTGTTGCTTCGTCTACGCACCTTCCTTGGCTCACCGTCCTAAGCACGTATTTGCTGCCATCGCGGACCCGATACCCACCGACTCAGTGCTGTGTAGCCCCTCCTTTTGATATCCCCATCCCCCGACCCCTTTTCCTTAATTAATTCAATTTTTTTATTCACCTGAGACGGCTATTTAACCCCTCCACACACCACCTACCTTAACCTTTCACGTTATATATAACTCATCTTAAAATATTTAAATATGTTTCTTAGAAATCTTATATTAAAAAATGCTCAATATTCCTTGGTTCATCCTTCTAAACATTAGAAACTTACACTATCAATTACATATGAATAATATTGGAAATATATGATCTAGATAGAAACCAGAATACAAATATATTTGAACAGAAAAATGGCCAAGCTAGTGGTGATGTTTAATGTAAACTTGCTGAACACTGTGTTGG